TTTCAGTCAAATGCCATGCTTTCTAATTTTAAAAGGCTCTCATTTGGCAACTAGTTTCCACAGCAGCAGAGAAGTCATCGGTCTTTTTTGTTAAAAGAGTATAGAACTTGCTGACATATTGAACTCTGAATGCCAAACAACTTTTTTCTGAAATGGAATCCATATTAAATTGTAACTATAGAACTGTCATTGCTGTATTCCTCACTGCCAAAACCATCCTGTAACTTGGAGAAAAAAAGTAGTACTTTGATCTGCAGCAAAACATGAGGAAGTAAGACTTGAGTCATCTAGTAAGTTTCAGAGTAGCAGCCGTGTTCGTCTGTATCCGCAAAAAAGAAAAGGAGGACTTGTGGCACATTAGAGACTAAACAAATTTATTTGAGCAAAAGCCTTCGTGAGCTTCAGCTCACTTCATCAGATGCATGCAGTGGAAAATACAGTGGGGAGATTTTCTATACACAGAACATGAATCAATGGGTATTACCATACACCCGGTAAGGAGAAAGAAAAGGAGTACTTGTGGCACCTTAGAGACTAACTAATTTGAGCATAAGCTTTCGATGAAGTGAGCTGTAGCTCACGAAAGCTTATGCTCAAATAAATTTGTTCATCTCTAAGGTGCCACAATTACTCCTTTTCTTTTTGCGACTACAGACTAACACGGCTGCTACTCTGAAACTGTAAGGAGTGTGATCAGGTAAGGTGAGCTATTACCAGTAGGAGAGGGAAAAAACCTTTTGTAGTGATAATCAAGGTGGGCCATTTCCAGCAGTGGACAAGAACATGTGAGGAACAGTGGGGGGGTGGGGAGGGAGGGAGGGAAATAAACATGGGGAAATAGTTTTACTTTGTGTAATGACACATCCACATAAGTTTTGACACAGATTTTAGTTGCTGAATGAAACAAACACACTCAGCAAAGTCAGCTTAAGACCCCACAAAGGATAAAGCAAAACTAACATGCTTTTGGAATTAGAGGGACTCAGATAGTAAACGTATGCAATGACTGAATTTGCATAATAACCAATGATACTGCAGAATCTCACAAGTTACCTAATTTTGGGAAGACCCTGATCAGTCTTTTCTTCCCCCTCCCCATCTTTTGCGGTTCACTCTTGGTAGGACAAATTGATTTAGGAACTGTTCCTTTTTAGTTAAGAACCCATCTCTCCTCTCCCAACAGTTCACTTTCTAAAGTTTCCACTGCCTCACAGTCACATAGGATATTCCTTATGTAAACTCTTGATGCAAGCCTGGCAGTCAGAAGAACCTCCAACAAAGGGTTCTTCAGTACTTACCATTCAACAAGTGGGTTTAGAAGTGGAATCCTAGACAAGCTTTAAATGAAAATACTATAGCTACCTGTACAAGGTTATGATCAAGGTGAAGATTAAGAAATAATCCTGTTCCCTTCCATTTAGGCTATGGCTACACTGGCAATTGAACGACAAAACTTTTGTCTTTCAGAGGTATTCACCCAGCCCCCGTGAAAGAAAAAAGTTTTGCCGCAACAAGTGTGGGTATGAACAGTGCTTTGCTGGCAGGAGCGCTCTCCTGCCGACAATGCAAATACCACTCGGGGGTAGAAATTTAACAGCAGCTACACTGCATGACTTTTAGGTGGCACGGCTGTAGCAACACAGCCACGTCCCTAAAAGGTGCGTAGTGTAGACATAGCCTTAGAAACTCATCTATACAACAGCTCTTATTTTTAACCCTTGAAATCTATAAACAATATTTGTTGTTGAACTGAACCTGTGTCATGAGGATCCCTATAAATTTCGTCTGTCAGCAAATAGTGTTTTCTACACCCATCTTCAAATTTTAAAAATCAGCAACTATAGTTATTAATTCTGAAATGACCCTCCATCTCTTATTACTACCATAGGAGACACTTTACAAGAGGCTGAGAGCTGTACCTTAGAACCAAATATAAACACTATGTTTTTGTAAGGAGTCACAGAATAATAATTTTAATACATACAGTGCATATATGACAGAGCCATGGGAAGGAAAGGAGGGAGCCACTAAAACTCTCCCCCACAGATGTTAGATGTACACAGACCTTCTGTACCCCAGTTTTTGGCATTATGTTTTCTTGCCAGCCACTATGACCTGGGCACATTAGTGACAATTAAACTGAAGAACCACACCCTCAGAGGAGCACAAAAAGAAAATAAAAAAGGGGAGGAAGCAGAGTCTCTGACCCAAACAGCATACGGACAAAGTTGAGATAAGAACAGGAGTAGTTATGGAGCAAAAGGATGAGGATAAAGACTATATAATCATGTAGTCCTTCAGCAATAGATGTGTTTTGAGGGTAGTTTTTTTTTTTTCTTCCCTTCAATTTTGCAGGACTGAAGATCAGATGTCAACTTGAAATGTGTCTGATTGTGATTAGAAGAAAAATGATGTAGTACTGCTCAGTCAATGATAGCCAAAGAAACTGAAATCTAGTCAATATAAAAACTGAATACACACTAAGCTTGTGACTTTAGCAAGCATGTGAATTTGGGTCTCCAGAGGTGAAAGGCTAGAGCAACTCCACACACTGCCATTTGGCACTCATTACTGTATGTTTAACAGTCTCATACCAACATTATCATGCTTTTGTGCTACTGAATATTTCAGTGGGATAGAAGGGAAAAGGGGGGAGAAAATGTAGGGAGAGCAGCATTTCAAATTTTTCTAAAACATTAAAAAACCCTGGGGAATCATCATCATCATCGTACCATTCTGTTGGCAGCACCAATTACCACAGATACCACATTACAAAGCTCTGAGGTGACTCAACAGAAATTTTCCAGCATAAATCAAAATTGGTTACCAAAAAATATTTTTCATTCTGAGATTCCTTCAGACCTTTGTGGCAAGCCCTGCCTTCTCACCAGCAGCAATTCCTCACAATAAGGACAGGGGGAAAGCAGAGCTGGAATTAATTTATTGGTAGTGCCCTTGCACCATCACACACACAGATAGTTATCTATAACACATGATCTGAAGTGTGGTGAAAATCTGTTGGATTAAAAGACAGAGGTCAGTCTCCCATGCATGCCCATAAAACAAAAAATGCCCCATGGCCCTACTCAGATTTCCTTTGCTGACCCTTGAGCCAAAAATTCTCTTCCTCCATAGTTGTGTAAAATGTTTAGCACAGTTGTCCAGTTGGCTATAATCTGAGCAACACTAGAGAGGATTTCCAGTGCATGATACTTTGCATGAACACATTCTTATAGACAATATATAAAGCACTGTGGGCTCCCACAGGCTGAAGACGCAGAACTCATGCATGCAACATTCTGAAACTTCTCAAACAAATTTCCAACAGAAATTTCAATTTTTGTTGAAGAGTTTCTGCTACACATCTGCTCATAGAATTTTCTTACATTTCCAACTCAAATACGATTTAGGTTGCTTTAATTCATAGTTCATAATTCTTCATTTGCAGGATGAAAAAAGGGAAATGAAGTACAAATCAAATCTCCCTTTTTCTTCAAACTGAGGAAGAAAAACAGCTTATTACAGTAAATTAGCTATATCTACTATCGAAAACTCTTGTAATGCCATTCTCATTTTTGAAATTAATAAAAATTACATTACTTCTGACCAAAAGACAATCACCCCAGTACTGTATTCACAATTCAAAAATGGATAGACTTTGTAAAAAATAAACAACATTCATCATATTTTGAAACCTAGCTACATAACTACTTCAGCATTCAGTCTTTATATTCTTGGAATAAGATAAAACATTGTACTTTAAAGGCTATTACAATTAATCTGCCATAAAGAAGTATTTCTTATTTTTGCCTATCATTTGATATGTGTCCAAGCTATTTATTTTTAATAACTAACTGCAAGCAATTCTGGGAAATTAAAAAAAGCCTGATGTCACTGGGAATGAGTGCAGTCAGGCACAAGTATGAGGAAAGGGCAGATTTATACATGCAAGCTAATACTAAACTTTTATAATGCATTTGTGTAAATATTTAAGTCAACAGTTACTGCACCTGGAGCAACCTTGTAAAGGGTATTCTATCATTTCTTTACTGTGCTTTATAAACAGAGTTAAAAATGTTTAAAACAGCTTACACAAATAAGAGGATATAAAACTATCTACAGGAAACAAAACAGCAGCTTATTGATCATACATTGCTAGGTTGACTCAAATGTCTGGTGCAGCACTTAGCCATAATACTGTAGAGTATGGAGACAAAGGTTAGAATGCAAGCTCCCTTTGTTTCCTGCAATGATGCATTTTTTATGCTTCATAACATTATTCAGAAAGTATCTGCTTGTCAGCCTTGAAGTTTTCCTTGAACATCTCACATCTAACATGAAACTAGGAGAATAGCACCAAAAACCATCAGCTGTGAATAGAAACAGGGAAGCAGCATATTTGCATTTACAACACACTTTGCCACACACGAATATTCTTTCATTTTTCCCCTCATTGCTAAGTAAATTTGAACACAAAATGTTTATTGTCCTCCGATAGCATAGTATAAAATTAGATACAAGAATAACTATTTGGAGAAAATAAATACTGTGGTTGTAATGGATTTCTAACGGTTAATATACAGGCAGGGAGATGGAAGCTAGATAAATCAAGAGACATGCCCAAAAAATCCAGAATTTAATACATTTTATAGCTTCTTTTGAGGACTATCTAGGAAATTAGGCTTTTCCCCCAGTTATACTATACTAGTCCGGATTCCAGGATGTGCTTTTCCTTGTCCGACAGGGGAAAACAAACAAAAGCAAAAAAGTTGCTGTGAGATTATTCCCTATTATGCGGGGTTTGCCAGCTCTCATTCCTCCTTCTAAGGAGCTTGCTGCCTCCTCACAAGTTGAATTCCTGTAATACTAAATCAGTGTTGTCTAGGAACTCTTACATAGTATTCTCCTTCCACTACAAAACAAACAAAAACCAAAACCAAAACGCACAGTTCGAATGTCTAGGCTTGTACAACATAACTTGAGGAAAGGTATTTTCTTACCTGATTGGTTCCTCAAACAAACAGCCTTTGATACCCGTATAGGCAAATGGACTTCAGTAACTATACAAAAAAGGAAAGCAGATAGACAACTACTTAGAAGCAGTTGAACACATTCAAACAAGAAGCTACATCCAAGTAACTGTACCATAGTATTCAGAGGAACAGCCGTGTTAGTCTGTATTCGCAAAAAGAAAAGGAGTACTTGTGGCACCTTAGAGACTAACCAATTTATTTGAGCATGAGCTTTCGTGAGCTACAGCTCACTTCATCAGATGTTTACCGTGGAAACTGCAGCAGACTTTATATACACACAGAGAATATGAAACAATACCTCCTCCCACCCCACTGTCCTGCTGGTAATAGCTTATCTAAAGTGATCAACAGGTGGGCCATTTCCAGCACAAATCCAGGTTTTCTCACCCTCCACCCCCCACACAAATTCACTCTCCTGCTGGTGCTAGCCCATCCAAAGTGACAACTCTTTACATAATCAAGTAGGGCTATTTCCTGCATAGATCAAGGTTTTCTCACATCCCCCCCACCCCCATACACACACAAACTCACTCTCCTGCTGGTAATCTCTCAAAGAAACTGCGGAATCACCTGATCAAGATCCTCTACAGCAAACAGGGAAAGATTAAGAATGAGCTCTCAAAAATGGATACTCTCATAAAGAACCAACCTTCCACACAAACTTCCTCGTGGCTGGATTTTACTAAAACTAGACAAGCCATTTACAACCACCTTTGCTTCTCTACAAAAGAAAAAAGACACTAAACTTTCTAAACTACTACATGCTACAAGGGGCCACAGCAATGGTTCCCTCACCCCACCTAGCAATATTGTTAACCTATCCAACTATGCTCTCAGCCCAGCAGAAGCAGCTTTCTATCTCGGCCTCTCCTTCTGCCCCTCCCCCCCATGAACATGATACAGTTCTGTGGTGACCTAGAATCCTATTTTCGACGTCTCCGTCTCAAGGAATATTTCCAAAATACCTCTGAACAACATACTAATCCACAGAGGTCTCCCTGCCAACACTACAGAAAGAGGGATTCTAGATGGACTCCTCCTGAAGGTCGAAACAGCAGACTGGACTTCTACATAGAGTGCTGAAATTGTGGAAAAGCAGCATCACTGCCCCATAACCTCAGCCATCAACCAATGCCATCCACAGCCTCAGAAACAACTCTGACACATAATCAAAAAGGCTGACAAAGGAGGTGCTGTTGTCATCATGAATAGGTCGGAATATGAACAAGAGGCTGCTCGCAGCTCTCCAACACAGTTTCTACAAGCCATTACCCTATGATCCCACTGAGAGTTACCAAAAGCAACACAGCATTTGCTCAAGAAACTTCCTGAAAAAGCACAAGATCAAACCCACAGACACACCCCTGGAACCCCACCTGGGATATTCTATCTACTACCCAAGATCCATAAACCTGGAAATCCTGCCCCCATCATCTCAGGCATTGGCACCCTGACAGCAGGATTGTCTGGCTATGTAGACTCCCTCCTCAGGCCCTACCTACCAGCACCCCAGCTACCTTCGAGACACCACTGACTTCCTGAGGAAACTTCAATCCATCGGTGATCTTCCTGATAACACCATCCTGGCTACTATGGATGTAGAAGCCCTCTACACCAACATTCCACACAAAGATGGACTACAAGCCGTCAAGAACACTATCCCCGATAATGTCACGCTAACCTGGTGGCTGAACTTTGTGACTTTGTCCCTACCCATAACTATTTCACATTTGGGGACAATGTATACCTTCAGATCAGCGGCACTGCTATGGGTACCCGCATGGCCCCACAGTATGCCAACATTTTTATGCTGATTTAGAACAACCTTCCTCAGCTCTCGCCCCTAAAGCCCCTACTCTACTTGCGCTATATTGATGACATCTTCATCATCTGGACCCATGGAAAAGAAGCCCTTGAGGAATTCCACCACATTTCAACAATTTCCACCCACCACCAACCTCAGCCTGGCCAGTCCACACAAGAGATCCACTTCCTGGACACTACAGTGCTAATAAACAATGCCACAAAACACCACCCTATACCGAAACCTACTGACCGCTATTCCTACCTGCATGCCTCCAGCTTTCACCCTGACCACACCACACTCCACCTACAGCCAAGCTCTGCATACAACCCATTTGCTCCAACCCCTCAGACAGAGACAAACACCTACAAGATCTCTGTCAAGCTTTCTTACAACTACAATACCCACCTGCAGAAGTAAAGAAACAGATTGATAGAGCCAGAAGAGTTCCCAGAAGTTACCTACTACAGGACAGGCCTAACAAAGAAAATAACAGAACGCCACTAGCGGTCACCTTCAGCCCCCCAACTAAAACCCCCTCCAACGCATTATTAAGGATCTACAACCTATCCTAAAGGATGACCCAACACTCTCACAAGTCTTGGGAGACAGCCAGTCCTTGCCTACAGACAGCCCCCAACCTGAAGCAAATACTCACCAACAACCACATACCACACAACACAACCACTAACCCAGGAACTTATCCTTGCAACAAAGCCCGTTGCCAATTGTGCCCACATATCTATTCAGGGGACACCATCACAGGGCCTAATAACATCAGCCACGCTATCAGAGGCTCGTTCACCTGCACATCCACCAATGTGATATATGCCATCATGTGCCAGCAATGCCCCTCTGCCATGTACATTGGTCAAACTGGACAGTCTCTACGTAAAAGAATAAATGGACACAAATCAGATGTCAAGAATTATAACATTCATAAACCAGTCGGAGAACACTTCAATCTCTCTGGTCACGCAATCACAGACATGAAGGTCGCTATCTTAAAACAAAAAAACTTCAAATCCAGACTCCAGCGAGAAACTGCTGAACTGGAATTCATTTGCAAATTGGATACTATTAATTTAGGCTTAAATAGAGACTGGGAGTGGCTAAGTCATTATGCAAGGTAGCCTGTTTCTTCTTGTTTTTTCCTACCCCCCCCCCCCAGATGTTCTGGTTTAACTTGGATTTAAACTTGGAGAGTGGTCAGTTTAGATGAGCTATTACCAGCAGGAGAGTGAGTTTGTGTGTGTATGGGGGTGGGGGGGATGTGAGAAAACCTTGATCTATGCAGGAAATAGCCCTACTTGATTATGTAAAGAGTTGTCACTTTGGATGGGCTAGCACCAGCAGGAGAGTGAATTTGTGTGGGGGGTGGAGGGTGAGAAAACCTGGATTTGTGCTGGAAATGGCCCACCTGTTGATCACTTTAGATAAGCTATTACCAGCAGGACAGTGGGGTGGGAGGAGGTATTGTTTCATATTCTCTGTGTGTATATAAAGTCTGCTGCAGTTTCCACGGTAAACATCTGATGAAGTGAGCTGTAGCTCACGAAAGCTCATGCTCAAATAAATTGGTTAGTCTCTAAGGTGCCACAAGTACTCCTTTTCTTTGGTATTTGCTACCTGGATTTCTACTATGGTACAATGTTATCTCAATTGAAAAGGAGGAAAGCCTTTCAATTAAAAAAAGCACTAATTGCTAAGAACTCGAGCAGAGTTTTTGCATAGCAACCAATTCTTTAGGGCTGTCAGCACCAAAGATAATTTTATCATGTGACCAGCCACATCCTCTTGAGAAATAAATGCTGCCTGTGGAATTGCTTTTCCAGCACAGAAACTGAGGTCAGTAGAAATAGCTCCTCATTTAGAGGAAAGAGTGAGCTTTAAAGAGAGAAACACAAACCATCTTCCTTGACAACTGAGTAAAAGGAACAAGAAATATTTTTTAAAAAGGAAGTTTTGAGATGTTAAGATAAAGGAAACAGAAAGATACATGCTGGAGGTTTTCCAAACAAGTTACTCCCAAATAGCTGAGCCACAAAGACTCCCATACACAACATCTCATACCCTCTGGGATTTTACTCCCTTCTTCAGCCCAGACCAAAACAAAAACTGAAAAAAAAAAAATCACTCTAGCATGAACTTTTTCTATTAGTACCATATGGTCTGAACAACAAGAGGGGGGAAAAAGAACAAAAACAAAAACACCGCATATCTCCAGGCCCCTAAGCACCAATGCAGTTCAAAGGAAAGAGGACTGAAAAGGACATATAATAGCTTCGGCTACTAGATAAGATTTTTGCAACCACCAAAAATACTAGAACAATATTTATAATGTTCTTTGTTGTGCCAACCATAAGGGCTAGTCACTGAAAGAACTAACCTAGAGTCCCAGAGTTTTACCAGGTCTTCCAATTCCCAAAGTGGCACTACCTAGAATCTGATAGATCCATCCCAGATCCTAAATTATTCTAGCAAAGGGACAGCCACAAAAATAAAGATCTTCCATACAGTACAGACATTAAGTTTTTTCAGCTGAAAGGACTAGTCCCAATCCTCCTGCTGTTTGGCTGAAAATTCCAGAAATGAGGTCTCTATAGGCTTGTCTACACTACCACGTGGGGTCGATCTAAGATATGCAACTGCAGCTACATTAACAGTGTAGCTGAAGTCGACATGCTTCCATCTACTTACCACGGGGTCTTCACTGAGGTAAGTCAACAGCTGACGCTCTGCTGTCGATTCCGCGAGAGTTCTGGTGGAGTACCGGAGTCGACAGGAGAGTGCTCAGCGGTCGATTTATAAGTCAACCCCCGCTGATCCGGTGGGCAGTGTAGACAAGCCCTACGTCCGAGATATACATGACAACTGCTTTTTCCAGTAAGATACCAGGCCACTGAAGAAAAATTCTGTCTGCCAGCCTCTGAAAGACCAAGCCACTCTTCATTCTTTGAAAAAATAACGGATTTTTAAGGGAAATGCAATAGATCTAATATAGTTGGACTTGGGTAAAACATTTGACACAGTACCACATGGGAAACTATTTGTTAAATTAGAGAAGATGAGGATTAGTACAAGAATTGGAAGGTGGATAAGAAACTGCTTAAAAAGAGCAAAGCCAGTGGGTTGTGCGGAAAGATGAACTATTGGACTGTAGGGAGACTACTAGCAGAGTTCCTCAAGGACCTGTCTTAGAGCCAGTTTTATTCAATATTTC